GGAATAACAGATTCACAGAATTGTGGAGATTGGCAGGGATCTTTGCAACAGTCTAGTCCAACTCCGTTGTTGAAAGCAAGGTCAGCCAGAGAAGGCTGCTCAAGACTGTGTACAGTAGGTTTTCGAACACATCTGAGGATGGAGACTACAGCTTCTGTGCAACACGGTCAAATGTACCATCAACCTTAAAAACAATTTTTTCTTATGTTGCTTTACAGCCTGGTGACATCTTCTCAACAATGGCATATCTTCTATCTTCTGYAGGCTACGAGACCACCTCCCACTGCCCTACGTCAGTGAAAGGCTCCCGGCACTCCCTGCAGCCTGAAATCTGCAGAGCTACACCCTCCCGCTGAAGTTCCATTTGAAAGGTTTAGAATGGAATAGGTAAGAACAGAAAACGAATTGGAATAGGTATTCTGAAATAATCTATTTTGTGGAAGCATTTATTGTTTGATAAGAATGTTGGAGGTTTTTTCCTCTGGTCTAGTCTGTGCAGTTTCCAAACTCTGCATGCTCTATCTATGCTATGTCCCACCATTTGATTACTCCCCTTACCGGTTTACCAGGTGAACACAATACAGTGTGCTTCTTCACTTTGCACTGGCTTTCCAGTGACACAGTGGTTAGGGTAATGTTACTTTGTCTACAGTAAAGTTAACATAGGGTGATCTACTTCAGGCATAGAAAAGAACRAATATTTGGGAGTGTAATATAGTCAAAGCCAACAGAAATGGTTAAACAGATTGCTTAGGTGGACTGAAAGGAATCAGAGAAAAATAAAATGAAATAAAAACAGGATTGGCAAGAGGAGTTTTTGCTTCTGRTATTAAAAGCAAGGGCTTGTTAATGTTTTAGACCAAGAGAGCATCATCAACCCTCAAGACTGTAGTAACYACCAGCTTGCTTTTTATCAGTATTTATTGATAGCAGGACATTGATAACGTGATAAGTGATGTACAGTTTGCATGGTTATGTGCATCACATACAGATTACCTCCCAGAATATGGAAAAAATGTTAAAACACTCTCTACTAAGGTATCTTCCAGTAGTGCTTTCTGTATCAGAAAGCATTCTCCTTTGTGTACTTTTATTTTTACTATTGCTACGGGGCTTTTGTGAATGTATCAATCTTCTTCTAAAATTTGGTAGAGACGTTTTCCTCTTTCAAACATTGTCAATGAATGCTATTAAAATAAAAGCTTATTAAAAAAAATCCTTTCTTCCCCACTGCATGTAGTGAGTCACCATGTTGAAAGAGGGTGTATTGAGGCAATGAACAAAKCAAAAATGAGTATGCAATGATGGGAGACAGAGGAATACACATTACCTCAGGCTCCATCTTCACTATGCTGCTGCCCCAGTGTGGCTCMTGGCTGCTGATGGATACTGTAATCTCTGTGTTTCTTTCTCTGCAAATGCTTTGTTACCATTTAGCTCAAGAGTATGTTCCTCTGGCTGTTGCAAGCTGATGCAACAGTAAGGCTCTGGAAAAGAAATACTACATTTAATTAAAACACATGCCCTCTTCCGTCTTCCAACAGATCCGCCGATATAACCGGGCTTGACGGCAGGCTTCAGGTCCACCCAGTCCAGTGTCCTGTTAGAGGCCAGACGAAGAAGGCAAGGGAAAGAGTGTGAGAATGGTGCAAACACYGATAGTTAATTCACCAGATATATTCTTCCTTCCTTTCCTAGCCCTTGGCTTACAGCCTTTCCGAGCCCACAGTTTTCATATACAAGAGGTATCGATGGATTTTTTTTTTTTCCTTCCAATCATGTCTAACACTTTTGAATACTGTGCTCTGTAATGCCTGCAAATGTAGTGGGGTACATTTTYCCATTCTGGGATCCACAATTTTGCTGAAAGATGAGCTCCACAGAGTAGTTATGAGTCATCTGAGGGGGGAAAAAAGCACACGTCTTTTTGGTAGTTTGAAGTTTTCTGCTTTGTAGCTTCATGTGCTTCTCTGCCATTCTTGGATTATGAAAACTAAGACATAGTAATTTTTTATCTGCTTTCTCTGTACTATCACAGTTTTATAAACCTTTATCATATTCTTTTTCAGCCATCTGTTTTTTCAAGCTGAAGAGTCTTAGCCTATTTAATCACTTTTCACAGAGAAGCTGTTCCATATTTCTGCTCATCCTAGTTGCCCTTCTTTGTATCATTGCTATTTTCTTTTAGAGATGGTAAGACTAGAAATGCACATCATTCAAGATTTGTGGAGGCACAATGGACTTGCATTCAGCAGAATGCTGTCTTCTGTTTTGCTTTCCATCCCTTCCATAGTGATTCCTAACACTCTATTTCCCTTTTCTTTTACTGCAGCTGTGATTTCTACACACAGTGATTCCACTTTATTTTTTCCCCTAATAGCTGATTGAGAAATAATTCTTGTAAATTATTTGCTTTTGTTTCTCTTTGAAAGTATGTTCAGGAATTTTGCCAGCACTTGCCTGGGCACTTCTCAGGCCTAGGAACTTGATGACTATTGGGTAACATCTGAAGTTTAGTTGTGAATAGATGTGGAGTCATATTTGGATTGCCACACAAACTTTACTGTAAATATGCTAAAGACATTTGGGAATAAAATTAACTGAAGCAGGCTGCCAGTTAATGCAACCTCTCAACAGCAAAAATAGAGATAGTAGGAAAGAGTGTTTATCTTTGAAGACATTGGACAATAAGACTGCTCTTGCTAACTTGGGTAGACGAGCTCGAGTATGTTAAATAAAAAGTCCTGGAAGCAGAAGTGGTGTGGCACAATATCAAGGATTTAAGGGCTCATCAGGAAGACTCAAAACTGTGTGATCATTGTAYAGATAAGATTGTTAGCATTTAAAATAATGAGCAGTAACCAGCAGGGGTTTCTTTGGTWCTGGGCAAGCAATTTTAAAGAAAATAAAGTGTCTCTATCGTGTAACAATTAGTGTACCAATTTCACAGTTGGTACTTTGCTCCTTCTCRGGAATTCAATACAGAAAAGAAATTGTAAGAAATAACTGGAAACAAAGATTACAGGTTTTGTTTTACTCTTCTCTGTTTCAATGTAGACATTTCCCAAATTTTTTAGAATAATGATTGCTTGAAGATCTGCAGAAAATTAAGTGATTCTGTACATCTTAGGCCATTTTGATCTACTTCATTTTATTCATCTGTTAAGGAAAGGTAATATTTACTTACATAACTCAGGAACACTGAGTGATAATTAATGCTTACAAGAAGTRGTATGATTTAAATGAATAGCTATGAACTTCCAAAGGATTATTAATTTTATTATCATTGTTATTACTGTACTGAGCTATTGGAAATTACTAAAAGATAGGCAATTACTGTGGATTTTCTTGAGATGACTTTGTAGGGTGTTAAAAGAAGAGTGTTACACTGCAGAAAGCTTATAATGAAGTTATAAAAGTGAGATTACATGCCATCATTTAAAAGGGTATTGTCCATCCTTTAAGAAAAAAAGTAAAAATCATGAATAAATACCACATGAATAAAATATGCTGGTCTGTCTTTTCAATTGTAGTTGTAGTAGACTCATTTATGGCTTGCCTGAGAAGATTCCCCATCTCTGCCTCAGTGATTTTTGAGTCACATGCAGAAATGTTTGTAATTTGGGGAAAATGTTATGGTCAATGGGAAACTGGGTTTCTGCAGTTTGACGAGGGCTGAGCTGCCACCACCAAGAGTGTGAGTCCAGGTCAGCTCCTGTGGTCCAGCAGGAGATGAGCCTCTGCTAAGSCATGGTAACCCCATAGAGAGTGTGACCAAAAGCAGCATGGCTGGATCAGGAAATGCTTCCAGCTCCAGGCTCTTATCCTCTGCTTTATAGGTTACCTCCCTCAGTTAAATCAATCTGGCCATGTGACTGTGTTCTAAAGTACACTGTGGAATGGATCTGATTAAAAACTGCACTAAGGCCGTCATTTTGGGAAAGGTTTCTCTTTAACAAATGGGTAATTTATAAAGCTGGTTTRGAATATGGCTGTACTTTGAGATTGTCCCCATGAAGATTTAAAATAGCTTTGTTAATATCCATTTTAAATGACTGGACTAATATTCTTGAGTTTCCCATGAACACAAGTTGAATTATACTGTGAAGAAAATTAATCTATTTCCACTGGCAGTAAAGAATAATTTCTTATGCAGAATTTCTGCCTCTTACTTGACTGGATTTCTAGACATTCCAATTTAGGTTCTTGACGAGTTGAGAATAAAAGATTTCCCTATTCTAAGCTGAAAGATTAATTACAGAACAAAGACTGTCTATGAAAAAAAATGTTATTCCTCTCCCTTTATCCATACTGAGAGAAAGTAATTAGTTAGGGGACTAATCAAACCCCAAATAGGATTTGTACAGATGGTTAAACCACCTCTGCCCTCGCTGACACCTTGCTGACATCTTGCTGTTCTGAGTCCTGGAAAGAGTTCTGGTTTAACTGCAGCAATCCAGGAACCTAACAAGACACTCTTCCTGTGACAGCAATCTGAAGTATTGGAAAGCATGATCCAGAGGAACATGGGATTTCACAGCAGCTGACAAAATTGTGCTATAAGAGCTGCAAGTGTAGTAGTGCCATGCAGGAAATGCCTTGCTGTGGACTCAGCAAAGTGATGACTCTCACAAAGGCCTCAACCAATGCAAGTTTTACTGCTTCATTTGGGATATGTTTTGTTGGGATATCAAGCCAATCCTAGTGATGCTCTAAGTAGCAGTGTTGACAGAAGGCAGCATGGGAGAAAAGAACCTGGGTCTTGGTAGATACAGGTTGGTCTCAGGTTGAACACAAGGCAGCAACGTGCCCTTGCCACAAAGAGGGTGAATATTATCCTGGGTGGCATTAGGCAAAGTGTTGCCTGAAGCTTGTGAGAGGGATCTTCCCACTTTATTCAGTGATGGTGAAGTCACACCTGGAGCACTGCCCAGTTCTGGGTTCCTTGGTACAGGAGAGACATGGATACACTGTAGAGAGTCCAACAAAGGGCCACAAAGACGATGAAGAGGCTGGAGCACCTCTCCTGTTAAGAAAGGCTGAGTGAACTGCGACTGTTCAGCCTGGAGAAGAGAAAGCTCAGGGGGATCTCATCAATGTACACAGATAGCTGAAGGAAGGTGTCTTAGTTTGAAAGACATGTGTCTGTCAAGGAAGGCAGGAACCTCCCTTGGAATGGTGAATATGACCCCGTTCCCTCCGAAATACTGTAACTTTGAAATTTAGGGGTTTTCAGGCAAATATATGGGAAAAGGAATAACAGCCCTTTACTAGTATTTACAACAAGGCAAACAAACAACAACAGCAGCAACAATAAAATAAAAATAGAAATCCAGTAGCAGCCCTGTCTGGGCTGTCCCACGCCCTCCCTGTGGCGCAGTTCCGGTCACGGCCGGCAGGGGCGCTGGTAGCTCCGGCCGGGCAGAGCGGTGCAGTGATACCCCCACGTCGGTAGGGGCGCTGTGGCGCGGGTTCAGAGCTCTCTCTCACCTGGGCACTGGTGGGCGCCGCCAGCAGGAAAAGATGGAAAAARGGCCTCCTTTACAGCTTCACAGGGATAGCTGATCCCAGTGCCCCTCCGGATGGTGAGATGGGCTGYAGYAGGGATCTTGGAGCAGYGGCAGGGGACAGGCACGTGCTGGTCACCCTGGGAGTGACMAACAAAASGTASCAGAGACTCCAGGGCCACGCAGAGGCTGCAGGGAATCTGGGTATCGGGTTACAGTGTAACAAAAAGCCCTGAAACAGCGGTGAAGAACAGCGGGGTCTGGCAGGGGATTGCTCCCTGGATAACTCACTGGCGTTGGCTGGTCCCGGGTCCCTCTGCAGAGGGGGTGGCCCCCAGTAGGGAATGGGGTGTTCAGGCTGTCCACGCAGCACGAACTGGCTCTGGGCTCCCAAGAAGCAGGAAGAGCAAGCCAGTAAGCCCCAGTAACCGTGCAGAAGGAAAAGAGAGAAAAAGATGGGCAAAAGCCAAGCGGTAACTGTATCTGTCGTCAAAGTAATCCCAGCGCTTGCCTCCCCGGCCAACACGTCCACCAGAAGAGAAGACAACCACCCATTGCCCATCCCAAATCTCGGGCTGGCTGTCAACTATTGCAATATCCCTGGAGCCGGCAGGCAGGCAAGCAGCAGTGACCAACCCGGACACAAAAGAAAAACAAAAAAAACTAAGATGGGATGAGATAAAAAAGACATCTCCAAGTCGGGAGAGTGCACAGAGGACAGAGCCTGGCTCTTCTCATCAGTGCCCATTGACAGAATCAGAGGCAATCAGAGGCAATCGGTGCAAACTGAAATACAGGAAATACAGCCTTTTCACTCTGAGGGTGACTGAGCACTAGAACAGATTGCCCATAGAGGTTGGAAGCAGCCATAAAGATCATGAAGTCCAACTCTGCTCCTCACAAGAATATCTAAAACTTAAACAATATGACAAAGTGTGTCATTGAGATATTCCTTGAACTCTGACAGGATTTCTCATGCCCTATCAGTGGTCACCACAGAGAGGAGCCTCCATCCTTGGAGATATTCAAAATCCAACCAGACACAGTTCTGGGTAACCTGGTTTAGGTGGCTATGCTTGAGCAGGGAGGTTGGACCAGATACCTCCAGAGGCTCCTTTCAACCCCAACTGTTCTGCAGTTCTGTGACTTACGATGTTGTTGACTGATCAGCCTAGAGGTTCATGCTAAAAAATCTTTCAACAACAGGATGGATGGATTTCATCATGGATGAATATCATGTAAAGCAATTCACTGTATCATGTCCATTGGCCCATTCTCATTTTTTGACTCAGTTGCCTCACAGCTACTCCTCGGGGAGCTTGCCCATCGATGTGTGCAATCAAATACTTAACCACATTTCACACTAGCCATCTTTGTCCAGCGGCCTGTGAGGATCCTCAGCTCGCAGCGAGGTGCGATGCCGGCACGGGCTCAGCGCTCACCCCATCGTGCGAAAGACTCGCGTCCTTCCATGAGGGAAAGGGCCACCCGCTGGGACACCCACTGGAGACGCGGGGATCGCGGCTCGGTGTCGCGCCGGGGGCCAAACTGACGGACCCCGCGGGACCACGCTCCGGGGGCATCGGGCTCCAGGGGCATCGGGCCCCGGACCCACACCCCTCATGGCCACCGCCCCCGGCGGGGCGGGCCCGCCCGACGCGTTTCGAACGGGCCAACGGGCGGCGCGGGGGGGGGCGGGCGCGCGTAGGCCCCGCCCGGGACTTTAAAGCGCCATTTTGTGCTGGGCGCAGGACATCGATCGCTGCTCACACCCGGCGGGYGCCCGGCGGCGGCCGGAGCCTGCCTTCGGCGCTGTCTCCGCTCTGCCTTCGCTCTGCCTTCTCGGTGTCTGTCCCGTCACTCCGTTCCCCTGCCTCCATGACCCGCAGCAGGAAGCAGGCGGCGCTGGAGAGAGGAGCCGGGAAGATGAACACAGAGGCGGGGAGCGCCGCGGCGGCGGCCGCGGGAGCCCGGGCGGCGACGGCAGCGGCAGCAGGGGCAGGGGCAGCCGGGAGCGAGCCGGCGGCCGCCTCCTGGGGGCTGGAGGGGGAGGCGGAGAAAGTTGTGTACTCGCGCTCGCAGGTCTCCTTCGCCGGCACCAAGGCGCTGGGCGACGCCCTCAAGCTCTTCATGCCCAAGTCCACAGAGTTCATGAGCTCCGATTCGGAGCTGTGGAACTTCCTCTGCAGCCTCAAGCACGAGTTCTCCCCGGTCATCCTCCGCAGTAAGGACGTCTACGGATACTCCTCCTGCCGCGCCGTGGTCCCCGACCCGCCGCCGCC